AGAACACAGCCCTGTGGGGCTCCTGTATTTATAATCCGAGAGTCCGAGACAGTCTTCCCCAGACGCACTTGCTGCTTCCTGTCCGTCAGGAAGTCAGTGATCCACCTGCAGGTGGAATCGGGCACGTTGAGCTGGGAGAGCTTGTCCTGGAGCAGGGATGGCAGGATTGTGTTGAAGGCAGAGCTGAAGTCCACGAACAGGACCCTGGCGTAGGTACCCGGGGAGTCCAGGTGCTGTAGGATGTGGTGGAGGGCCAGGTTAATGGCGTCGTCTACAGATCTGTTGGCTCTGTAGGCGAACTGCAGGGGGTCCAGGAGGGGGGAGGTGAGGGACTTGAGATGGGAGAGAACCAGGCGTCCAAATGACTTCATGACGACAGACGTAAGTGCTACAGGTCTGTAGTCATTGAGTCCTGTGATCCTGGGCTTCTTCGGGACGGGGACAATGATGGAGGATTTGAAGCAGGCCGGGACATGGCAGGACTGCAGAGAGGTGTTGAAAATGTCAGTGAACACAGGAGTAAGCTCACTGGCGCAGTGTCTCAGAGTGGCCGGAGACACGTGGTCCGGGCCAGGAGCTTTGCGGGGGTGCAGCCTCAAGAAGAGTTGTTTAATATCTTTAGAGGCTATTGTCAGGCTGGGGACAGGGCTGATGGGTGGGTCGTTAAGAGTAGTGGGGGGTGGGGGAGGGAGAGGTGTCAGGGGCAGCATCAAAGCGACTGAAAAATAAGTTCAGTTCGTCAGCTAGCTTGTGGTCGTCAGCACAGGGGGGGGCTTTGGGTTTGTAGTTGGTGATCTCCCGTAGGCCCCTCCAGACAGAAGCAGTATCGTTGTTACCAAACTGCTCCTGTAGTCGTTCTCTGTGCCGGGACTTGGCTGCTTTCAGTTCTTTCCTGAACTGAAATTTAGCTGCTTTGTAGCCGCTGCGGTGGAATGGAAGACATACAAGATCACTGATAATCTCTCTCGATCTGGGGCTCCACGCAAGATTTCATCCCGTGGGGTCAAAATGATCATGAGAACGGTGAAAAAATCCCAGAACCACACGGGCGGACCTGGTGAATGACCTGCAGAGAGCTGGGACCAAAGTAACAAAGGTTACCATCAGTAACACACTACGACGACAGGGAATCAAATAGGGATGTACCGATCCAATATTCAGTATCGGTATCGGGGGCCGATATGGGTATTTTATAAAGATCGGATTTGGTAAATATGAAGCCGATTTACGTCACTTTTCAGCATGCTCACGCTTTACGGCTGCCGTAAACTAAATACAATGTAAAACTAGGGCTGGGCGATAAAACGACAACGAGATATAGTGCGATAGACACGTGTTCGATATCGATAGAAAACGGGGTCGATAGAATGTTAGTTTGACGTCACTCCGTTAGAAAAAACAGGACGAAAACACAGGAAGTAAAGCAGAGTCAAACGCGCGGCATTCTGGGGGATGTAGGCATAGGCTTCTCGACCTATCACAGCCAAGCGTCAACCGCAAAACTTTCTGGGAAATGCATAAACAACAACCGCACAATGCGTAGCGTACATGGATCTAAAGATTGTTTTTAAATGCCGTGTCAGTGGCATAGACTGTATATATTATTAACGGACAGAGTCACGCCTATCTCCGCCGTTCTAACTAATGGGCCAAAAAATGTGCCCTACTGGAGCTATCCAAAATGGCCGCAAGTGGTCCCGCCCACAAGAAAATTGTGAAAAAACGCATTTGCGCATGCGTCAGCCGGCGCAAGCTCCATTCATTTGAACGAGAGACTTAAAAAATTCACAACAAGTAAACTAGAGAGGACAAAAAAAATTCAGCCCCCTCAGCATTGACACACATGTGGAACGGAGCTTTGGGCCAAGAGCCAACTTTTGGTCCATCCTGTAAAGACGTTTTCGAGAGGTCCAATGCTATATGTTAGCATTGGCTAATTCTTCTTCTGGGTCCACCCCCATCGGCCCGGGGTGGTATTGCAAGCATGTCAGCGCACGTCGGGGGGGGATCCGCCCCCACTGGTCAGTGGTTATGCACGTCCGTGCGAGGCATAGCATGTGCGGTGTGACAGAGGCAGTAAACAGAGACCTGGTGCATGCGGCGAAAGCAAGAGATGAACTTTTTCCTCCGTGCGGCTATCAGAGAGCGGCCGCACAGAGCCGCCATGGGGACACAAAACAGGAGATGAACCAGGACTAAACCAGGATTTCACCAGGACTAACTATGGGGGAGACTGCTTGTGAACATATTCCTTGAGCCTCATTCCCTGTGACTGTAAACAAGGCTGCTAACGTGTGTTAGCCAACACGACAAACGTATTTATAAAATTGCAAATTCTTTAATGCTTTGAAAATATTAGGAAAAATGGTATCGGATCGGTATCGGCAAAACATTTAAGAATATCGGGATCCGATTAGAAAAATTCTGGATCGTTACATCCCTAGAATAAAATTCTGCAGTGCCAGACGTGTCCCCCTGCTGAAGCCAGTGCATGTTCAGGCCCGTCTGAAGTTTGCCAGAGAGCACATGGATGATACAGCAGAGGATTGGGAGAATGTCATGTGGTCAGATGAAACCAAAGTAGAACTGTTTGGTATAAACTCAACTCGTCGTGTTTGGAGTAAGAATACTGAGTTGCATCCCAAGAACACCATACCTACTGTGAAGCATGGGGGTGGAAACGTCATGCTTTGGGGCTGTTTTTCTGCTAAGGGTACAGGATGACTGATCCTTGTTAAGGAAAGAATGAATGCGGCCATGTATTGTGAGATTTTGAGCCAAAACCTCCTTCCATCAGTGAGAGCTTTGAAGATGAAACGTGGTTGGGTCTTCCAGCATGACAATGATCCCAAACACACCGCCCGGGCAACGAAGGAGTGGCTCCGTAAGAAGCATTTGAAAGTCCTGGTGTGGCCTAGCCAGTCTCCAGACCTCAACCCCATTGAAAATCTGTGGAGGGAGTTGAAAGTCCGCGTTGCTCGGCGACAGCCCCAAAACATCACTGCTCTCAAAGATTTGCATGGAGGAATGGGCCAAAATATCAGCTACTGTGTGTGCAAACCTGGTAAAGACCTATAGTAATCGTTTGACCTCTGTTTTTGCCAACAAAGGTCATATTACAATGTATTGAGTTAAATTTTAGTTTTTGACCAAATACTTATTTTCCACCTTAATTTAAAAATACATTCTTTAAAAATCCTACAATGTGAATTCCTGGATTTTTTTTTCACATTCTGTCTCTCACAGTTGAAGGTTCTATGATGAAAATTACAGGCCGCTGTCATTATTTTAAGTGGGAGAACTTGCACAATCGGTGGCTGACTGAACACTTTTTTCCCCAACTGTACAATTGCATTTATTCCTTCCCTCATTTGTAGGGACTATACTTGCATCTAGTGACCTCAATAGCTTGAAAAAAGTAAGTAAATGGTTCCGCAGAGTACAGTGGGAGTGATTGGTGTTGTGATCAGACAGTCAAAAGCTAAGTCTCTGGGCTGGCTAATCCCGTGTCACTTATTTCTCCTGGCTGATCTTAAAATACATTCACCTCATAGGCCGCCACACTAGACGAGCGGCGCACTGCAATGACATAACTGAAGGCTATGTCGGACTGCTCCAAAGTGATATGTCTGAACAAAATTAATTATGTTTGCATTTCAGTGCTCGAGAATAACACAGTCCCGACCTCTAAAAATAGATGATTTAAGAGCGTGAAAGACTGGCAGCTTCAGTTGCACGAGTGATCATTACAGCTATTTTATGGTTTAATGTTGATAATCTGTCTGGAGCCGCAAAAAATATGAGCTTTGTATGAAAGCAACATGGGCTCCAAGTGTATATTGCCTATATTAGCCGTCTATCAAAAAGACCAAGTATTGGCTACAAATACATAAACATTTTAATCAGGATGTATATTTTCCCTGCAGCACCTTCTGGATAGAATGACTCACCATGTGACTATTCTACTTTAGGGTTAGGCTGCTATTGGGTTAGGGCTCAGAGTTCAAATACCAGCTAACAGCACTGTCTGTTCAATATCAGTGACATCACAGACTGGAGTACGATGGATTGATTGGTGATGTCACCATCTTTGTAGAGGGAGGCATGTCCCGTCTAGTTTTTTCTCTTGTAATCGCCTTCCGAGAACACTTAAGCAGTAGAAGTTTGGAGATTAATCCAATCCAGACGAACTGCAATCAGTTTCTCACTAAAAACTGAATCCCGACGCAGGTTATGACGCAAATCTACGTTACCAGAAATATTAAAATGTAATATTTATAATGCAAGTCTTTAAATTATACAGAGAACCAAGTGGAAAGAGGTTGCTAATAAGTTTATTAGTATGAGACGAGAGTTCACCTGTGGATCAACAGAAAACACACTCTAATAAACTCACAATCTCACGCTGTCCTGTGCTTACTTTGTGAAATAAAAGTTTTGAAGTCTGTCTCCTGATACCTCTCCGCTCTGCAAATGTTATCCTAAGCATAATAGAGGGGCTTGCCATCTTTTCTCGCCATCTGCATTCATTTGTCCACTACAGCCATGGCTGTAATGTGAGCACTTTAGCACACGGCAATCTACATTCGAAACAGGATGTATAATATCTACCTCGTTCCTATTCCTTGTATTAATAAGTTATTGTTATTCAATATTTGAGTACATTTACTTATATATATTTTATATATAAAAAGGAAGCGCCAGAAAGGATCAGGACAGTGGTATGTTAGGATTTCTAATGTATTCAATTAGAATGAGACGGTGTATGGAGTGAATGAATAATGACATGTAAAGCGTCTTTGAGTGTCCAAAAAAGCGCTATATGAAACCGATTTTTTTAAATTACTATTATTTTTATTATTATTGCAGAGCAGCCCAGTTCTAAATCAGCTTTTAGGATTCCCTGCCTCACCCCCACCCCTTTCGTCCTGCCCCAGCGAAGTTAGATGAGGACTCATGGTTCTGGACAGTGCTGCAGTGTTGGACAAGATGAGCTGCGGATGTGTGTGCTCAAAATGGTGTGCGCAGTGAGCAGCCACATAAACCAAAATGCATATAGCTTTTTCGATTACTGACTAACAAATACTATTGTTTTAACACAATGTTGTTGCATTTTGTGTGCCTTAGTTACTGTGATTTTAACAAGTTATTCCTTTTTTCTTAGGGAAATGAAGCCAGTTATCCTCTGGAGATGTGCTCTCACTGTAAGTACAAGTTATCTTTTTCATCAACAACCTACATAATGTGAATAGTTTGTATAGAATTGAGTAAAAATGAATTGGTGTTTATAAAAAATTGTCATCAATCATTCCTGAATCTTTGTCACAGGAAATGGCCAGGTTCACTACATTGTAGGGCTGAGCGATAAATCGATTTTAATTATTAATTCGAATTTTACGTTTAGGGCGATTTCTTTTTAATGAAAATCGATGTATTTATTTTTCTCCAGCGCAGAGCTACAGTGCTAACACATTAACCGGGAGTCTATGGTGTTGAGCAGACATTTTGAAGCTAACCTAATGCTAACAGTCTCCCTCTGGCCTGACGCTCGCTCTCACATATGGTGCTGTTGCAATAACACTTCAGACTTTCAAGAATCAGAATTTATTTAATCGCCAGAACGCACACACGCACACGCAGGCAGGCTCCGGTTGCTCTGCGTACGGCACATCTTTCATTTTCATTCTTTAATTTCTCAGTGCGCTCCTGTGTCCGCGGCGCGCACACACACACGTGTCCCACTGAGCCGCTGCACTTTGGGGAAAGGCACGTCTCACACATTGCTCTCATTGCTTTGATACAAACAACGTGTTCTCCGCTCTATTTGTTAGCTACAGTAGCTGTTAGCTGCAGTTGCAGAGTGTAAACCGGAAACTTAACTCACACAATACGGGAGACACTTAAGTTAGTATTGGCGCCACCAGCTGGACCGAGCGTTGTACTACAGCACAGTTACTCAGGCACGGTTGAAAGAACAAGCATGAAAACAAGGGGTGCAACGGTTTGAAAAAATCACGGTTCGGTTCGTACCTCGGTTCAGAGGCCACGGTTCGGTTCATTTTTCAAAAAAAAAGTTTTGTCTTTTTAATAAACACAGCTCATGTGGACTCTGCACCTGCTCTGACTGCCCCCCCCCCCCTGACGTGGAAATGGATAAGGGGAAGGAAATGGATGGATGGAAGGTATATTCCTTCCATCCAATTATCTCTATTTAACATAATTAATGAAAAACAACACAAAGTGCAACATAAGAAGGCACTTTATGAGGATATTTACCCTCATATATCAAACCACCTTCCTGATTCTCCCAAGGAGGCGGTCCATTCAGGGCCCAGTCCAGCCTCATTACCTGCGTTTATTTAATTTTTGGCATTATCAATTGTGACTGGAATATTAGTGCTGGGCCTTTGTCTTCCATTCCTCCACTGCTTGTGTCAGTACCTGCGCTGTGTGACTGTGTGACTGTCGTAGAGGGGGCGTGTCTGCAGCGCCAGACTTTTCATCTCCCAGTCTGCGGTGATGAAGTGAGCGGTTCCGCTCATGGATCTATTATAGGTTCCGCGGGACGTTCAAGCGTCAGGCGTGAGCGCAGCTGAGGATGCGCGAGAGAGTTGACTTTAGCCTGGTCTGACTGTGCGTAAAGGAGCTGCTTAAATACCGCGACAATAAGCGGTCGTTGAGAAGCTTTTTTCACTCATGTCTTTCTTGTGCCACAGTGCTTACACATCGTGACACTTTTGTCGAATATTAATTATCAGGCAATACTGCGGAATTTAAATGACGCTGGTCTTTCAAGTATCTCCGTTCCTCCGCTCGCAATGGCCGCGCTGTGTGTGGACTGAACAACGTGCGCACAACTTCTTTTTCATAAATCAAACCGCGGAACACGTCTGTACCGAACCGAAGACGCTGAACCGAACGGATCACGGATCAGTGATGAACCGTTGTACCTGTAATGAAAACCCAAGGAGAGGAGGCCTTTGTAAAAGACTTTCTCTGTTATAACATTTGTATTTTGAGTAATCAGTTTTTAAAATGTGATATTTCATGTAAATAATGCATGTGTTTAATATGATTGATATATTTGCTATGGCCCTCGTTTGTGCGATTTAAGTGAAGGTGGATTGTGTCACTGTAAGTGAAGTTATTAGAAAACTGTTAAGCAACATTTTCACTGTTTACAATGGCAGGGCCATCTCGTTTACAGCGTGTTTTAAGGCTTATTTCCTGTTACACTTATCAATCAATCAAAGTTTATTTGTAGAGCGCCTTTCATACACAGGGCAACACAAAGCGCTTCACAGTCCACATCACAAATCATCACATAAAACAAACACCAGAATCACAATTAAAACATTAAAATCACACAAAAGATTAAAACACAATTAAAACATTAAAATCACACAAAAGAATAAAACCATTAAAACTTTCAAAATTACACAAGAAATTTAAAAAAATAAATAAATGACAGCAGTGCATTAGAAATGGAGATAAAATCCTTCAGTTGTATGCACAGGCAAACAGAACAGTCTTTAACCTGGATTTGAACTTATGCCCCATGGGGATTGAGATTAAACCGCATAAAGGAAAATCTATTTGTCAGTTGTAGTTTATTTTTTTTCTATTTAAAACCAAAAAATCTAAGATTGTTTCTTTTTTTTTGCCATATTGCCCAGCCCTACTACATTGTGCATCTGTAGCATGTGTGCATACACAGTCCGTGTCTGAGTACTTGATTAGAGAACTGGGGGAATGACTCACATTCTTTGTCCGCCTCCTTAACCTTCCCCACCTGATGGTGAATCAACAGTGTTTCTGCTCTTTGCTTCCTCAGAGATGTAAGAACAGTAAGAACATGGCTCCAGGAGTGTTCATGCCCTATCAAGTTAAAGTGAAGCTGTGGTTACATGTGTCTAATGAGCACTCGCAGTGGGGCAAACATTATCACGTCTTGTTTGTTGCGATTTTCTTTGCCACTTAATGCATTTAAATGTCACATATTGTTAAAAGGCTCGGGACACAATGTAACTGTAGATCTCAGTATACTACTGTAGTGCGTGGAGGCAGCGAGGCCTTGGCCTGTCCGGCTTGTGTGCCATTCCACGGGAGGATTAGCCCCCATGGTCACAGGACAAGGTTGTGGGTGACCCCATATCAATTTATTTATTTATTTATTTATTTATTTATTTGATTGGGACAACACACATTAATGAACAATCATATACAGTTGTACACAGATTGTAAATGTGCCAGATTATAGCAAAACTGCTAATTTACATCTGTAGTCCCGAGGCAGGTCACACAAGTAAAACAATGTATGAACAAAACATACATACAAAACACAATATAAAAACTTTATAAATCACATTTTAGTTAAAATGAGTGCATGACTGATTTACTTTGATGTGATGTTTAAGTTGTTTCTTAAAGGAGCTGTATGTCGGGCATTCTCTTATGTCTGTAGGAAGGCTGTTCCAAGACTGGCCTCCTCTGACGGACAGCACAGTTTGTCCAAATGTTGTTTTTCTGTGTGGGATTTCCATATCTCCTCTGGAGGAGTCTATTTTTTATTTATTTATTTATTTGATTGGGACAACACACATTAATGAACAATCATATACAAGTTGTACACAGATTGTAAATGTGCCAGATTATAGCAAAACTGCTAATTTACATCTGTAGTCCCGAGGCAGGTCACACAAGTAAAACAATGTATGAACAAAACATACATACAAAACACAATATAAAAACTTTATAAATCACATTTTAGTTAAAATGAGTGCATGACTGATTTACTTTGATGTGATGTTTAAGTTGTTTCTTAAAGGAGCTGTATGTCGGGCATTCTCTTATGTCTGTAGGAAGGCTGTTCCAAGACTGGCCTCCTCTGACGGACAGCACAGTTTGTCCAAATGTTGTTTTTCTGTGTGGGATCTCCACATCTCCTCTGGAGGAGGCTCTGGTGCGGAGACCCCTCATTGCTTTAAGTTTAATGTAGTTACATAGTGGGGGCGGGGCAAGACCATGAAGTGCTTTGTAAACAAGGCAACAGTTTTTAAAATTTATGAAATTTTGAAAATTTAGCATTTTATATTTTTCCAGGATATTGCAGTGATGATATGACCAAGGCTTTTGATCCAGAATTTTTATGGACTTTTTGAAGAGGATTTCTATGGGTTTGATATTTGTTTCTCCAGTAAGTGACCAGGTTGTAATGCAGTACTCTATGTGTGAAAATATCATTGAGTGTAGAAACATCTTTGCTGAATCTGTTGTCATAAAGGGCCTGATTTGTTTGAAGTTCTGTAAATTTAACTTTATTGTATTCGCAGTGAGCTTAATGTGTTTTTTAAAGGAGAGTGTTGAATCCAGTGTGACCCCGAGATATTTGAACTCCTCAACAAAGTCAAGCTCAGTGTCTCCAAGGAACACATTGGACCGATCAAGTTTAATAGATTTTTTTGTGAATATCATTGACACGGTTTTCTTTTTATTTAATAGTAAGGATGAGTTGTTGAGCCACTGCTGTATGTCTGTCAGAGCTGCAGTGAGGGTAGATGATGCCTCCTCAGTTGTTTTAGCAGGAGTAAAAATTACAGCATCATCTGCATACATTTGAAAGTGGACATTTTGACAAACATTTGGCAGGTCATTGATATACACAGAAAAAAGTATAGGTCCTAATACAGAACCTTGTGGGACCCCTGCAGGGCATTCTAGAAATGATGACACGGTGCCACCCACATTCACACACTGTCTTCTATCAGACAAATAAGATGTAAACCAAGCAAGAGTGTCCTCGGCCAAGTTAAAGTGAGTCAATTTAGAAATAAGGGCTTCATGGTCTACTGTGTCAAATGCCTTCTTCAAATCTAAAAAGACTGCACCAACACAGGTGTTTTTGTCAAGCATGGATTTGACAGTTTCTACAAAAACACAATTGGCTGTTTCTGTGGAGTAGTTCTGGCGGAAGCCAAACTGCATGGGGTGCAGGGGGGAGTGGCCATGGCTGAGATGTTGGTTGAGCAGCTTGGCTACCCATTTTTCAGCTACTTTTGACACCACTGGTAGTATGCTAATGGGGCGATAATTTGATGTAAGAGTCTTGTCTCCAGATTTCAAAATAGGTGAGACAGTGGCCACCTTCCAGCCTGATGGAACAACTCCCTCACTGATTGATAAATTTATCAGATGAGTGAGCGGA